AAATGCAGGTAAACAAAAAAAAGCCATATAGTTATGTTAGATGGTGTTTTCAAATTAAGAATTTGACTTTGGTTTTAGCTGCTCACAGCACCTAGACATTAAATATAAATACACAAACTTAATTAGGATAAAAGTAACAGTATGTACTGTACATGTAAGAACATGAACACAGAAGAGAGACGATCGCAGAGATCCACTGATACATACACAGCGTTTCTGTCTACATGCCTAATAGACATGTTTTTGGACTGTGGGAGGAAGCCACAGAGAACCCACAAATGCACAGGGAAAAAATGAAAACGCAATGCAAAAAGACCCTCGACCACAAATCAAACCCAAAACATTCTTGCTGCAAGGCAAGAGTGCTACAAACTGCCCACTATTCAGTCTTGGTTTTTAAATGGTTTTCATTTTTTCATGCAAATATCCTGAGATCCAGTCCTGCTACATTTTTTCCTCATATAGTGTAACTCCTATTTAATTCTATAGTATTGTATACATATCTTTTGTTAAACTGCTTGAAAATTATCTTTTCAGCTTTATACCTGTTTTATAACCAATTGTGTGAAATATATAAAGTTCTAAAAAGAAGCATTTTTTTATTATAAACAAGAAACATAATCACATGTATATAATTATATTGCAACTCATCTGTTAAACCACACACACAAAAATAATGCTGATTAGTTTTCAATGTTTTCAGATAGGTAGACCTTTTAATAAACTATTTAATGCATTAAGTAATTTCCTTACATTCCATAATTGGACCTCTAGTGGAATTCTATTCCATTTACACGAAAGTTTAGACTCTTTAACATTTTAAAACATAAAAAGTAACTACGCAGTTACTTAGTCTAGTAATGACTTACTTTCACTGAGCAGTAGCTGAATTGCTAACTCGGTTACCCTTTTGGGGAAGTATCTTGTATATATATATAAAGTATAAAAGTATAAAGTTAGGTTAATTTGGTATTAAATTGCCTACCAAACTGGGTTTTGGTGTATGGATGTGTGTGTTCAAGAAAACCAATGCTTGTGAATTTGGCTAATGTTTTAATGTAAGTCCCTTGTGTGGTTATATAACAAGAAAAGCACTATATACCTTTCCTTAATTAACCTATTACTCTTCCATTTACATTTTCTTGTGGGATGTGCTAGCCTATTTATCATGTCACCGGTCCCAAACATTTCAGATTTTTTCAATGTACCAGGTTTTGAGGAGCCAACTAATGATTACATGATTTATCAAATGTTTTTAAACAGAAAACTTCTAACATGCATTAGTCTGGAATTAATTCTGACTTCAGATTTTCCCCGATCTAAAAGCCAAAGTGGCTGGGAATTTCAGATGACTCTTGTAATAAGATGGAAAACTTGAGAAATTAGTATGTTCCTTGTATTGTTTAAAAGCAGGGCAAAGGAAAACAAAAAAACAACAAAAAGCTGAAATGAAAAGAGCAACTTCTTGTGTGAAATTTGATGCATAGTTATTGCTGATAAATCTGCTTTGCTAACAAAAGACAATCAACACGTGGGTGGTAGCAACAGAGAATATAAAGATGTTCAGTTTCCACCAGTGTGACTGTTTCCACCTCTTTGGTTAGAGTGCATACTAGTTTCTCATTCCCTCGCACCATAGGTCTTCAGTTCAGAGTATTGTTAGACACATTTTCCATAAAACTTTCCACTCTCTTTTTACTCAAAAATGAAATAATGTAAATGGATCTAGTTTGCATTTTGTAAAGCACATGCTCTTACTTATTACAGATAGTTGTGAGCTATTAAACAGAGGGTAGCTAACTATACTCCAATTGCAAACAGTTTTTTCCTCATTTGTTTTTATTCCTGTAAAAATATCAGAAAGGATCATCAACGTTTCAGCAAAAAATTATTGGTTTAATTTATAATATTTAATTCATAGGGGGGATTTAAGAAGATGGAAAAAGGCTCCCAACCACAGGAATCGGCTCCGCCCTATCCTGGTCCTCCCATTAATTATAACTTTGATGGACTTCAGCCAGGGATGTATGCTCAACCAGGCTCCTCTGCTCAACAAAGCTTCCCTGCTCAACCAAGCTTCCCTGCTCAACCAGGTTTCCCTGCTCAACAAGGTTTCCCCGCTCAACCAGGCTTCCCTGCTCAACCAGGCTTCCCTGCTCAACCAGGCTACCCTGCTAACGCAGGCTACTCCACTCAACCAGGCTTCTCTGCACAACCAGCCTATACCACTCAGCCAGGCTTCCCCCCTCAACAATGTTTTCCACCTCAACAAGGTTACTCCACTCAACCAGGTTACTCTGCTGTCCCTACTGGTATGTCGTCACTTCTTAAATTGCTGAACTGATCTCTGTCTTCCATCTTCCTACAGCCCCATCAGATGGGGCAATGTTGTCCAGTAACATTCTATTGTATGGCAAACATATGCATCAAATCAGTTCCTGTATTTCTCAAAACAGGCGGCTGGACTATATAGTTTAAGTCACACTCACATGGTAACCTGTCATGAAACAGTTTCCATTTGAGTACTTAAAGTGGGTTTCTACATAACTGAAATAAGTCCGGAAGAATGGGACTGTTTGTGGTATTTGAGCTTAACAGGAAGCTTTTGGTCTCAGTTTATTTTTGCCACACTTCATGTTTTAACGTCATGGTATGATTATTTGCATAAAAAGCAAATATATTATATCTAAATATCATTTGTGCTTTATTATTAATTTTAAGTCTTTTATGACTTTTTACTTTTAATGCAAATGATATATCTCTAACTACTGGTAAGTTGTTAATTCATTTGGAAAGATTATTTAAATATTTGCTTTTAATTCTTGTATGTTTTGTGTGTTTAAGTGTCTCATCTGGTAGTGGCACCTAGGCTAACTGATGTTCCTGGACCATTTTTGTGTCCTCACTGCCAGCAAACTGGGGTCACTCGCACAGAGCACACTGCGGGGCTGCTGACCTGGGCTACTTGTGCAGGGCTGGCTATTTTTGGGTAAAAACCTCAATATTCTATATCTTAATAGAATCATTTCCACCCTAATTTTATTTTACAAAAAGAAGACAGACAAATAACAAAATCTAATTTCTCACATTCAGGTGCTGGCTATGCTGCTGTTTCCCCTTCTGCATCGATTCCTGTCAAGATGTGGAGCATCGCTGTCAACACTGCCAAAAAGTGGTCTTCATATACAAACGGATGTGAACCCAAGCTGGAATGGGTCCAAAAAAGGCCCAGATTAATAGATTAAATTATAAATACATTTTTGATTACATTATAACAGCCTTGGGCCAGCCCACTAACGGGTTTTTGGAGGGAATTAAATTTCATACATTTTAAAATATGCTTTGTAAATTCAGTTAAATATAAACTGTACTGCTACATGTGGTCAGGCATTTCAAAGACCTTGTGAGGAAACATTGTTTTCAGTCTCAATATATGTATAAAAAAAATTGTTTGCGTTCAGTTTTAATATCACATATTTAATGGAGGAAATGGATGTCATTTTTTTGTCATACTGATCTGTTTCACACATGAACACAAACGAACATGTTGTTTTTTGCTGACCTGTGATGCTCTGATTCAGCAGGGTCCACTTTATTACAGTACTCTGACCTCCTGGAGCCTCGTGTGCCTTCTTGATTTCTTAGATCTAATGTTTATTTTTTGTTTAGTCCTTTCAAGGTAAGAGCTGGTCCACAGAGGGGAGGGGACATATAACTTGTAGCTGTCAAATCTAAGCTAAAGCCGTAGCCCCAACTCTTTAAAAAAAAGTTGTGACTGTATGTTACAGCCAACTTACAGTAGGAATGAGTGTGGAGCAAATTACAAACAAACAGGCTGAGGCAAAACGATAAGTTGAGGCTTACATCATTGTTTGGGGTTGAGTTTTGAGATGGTGTGTCCCAACCTCCCCCTCTGAGTGCATCAGCTGTTACCAGCAGCTGTTGAGGCTGCTGGTAACAGGAAATGAGCAGAGGCCATGCCCTGCTCATTTCCTGTTCCCCTCCCCCTAGTAGGCTGTGCAGGAGCAGACATAGAGGGCGAGGCCAGGGGGACCATGGCCATCCAAGTCAATCACAGACAGACAACCCCTGTGTAATTTGTTGATCCAATGTGGATGTAATTCAACGCCTCTAGAATAAGCACTCCTCTAAACCAGAGGGTGGCAGCAGAGACACCATTATGTGAAATGTCCTACTTTGACATTCTACCTGACTACTGGTAATAAATGTAACTAGAATTTTCTGATGTACAAATAAAATCCCAAGCGGGAACCTTTGTAATTGCTGTTTTTTATATACCCCTAAATCTGAGGCACAAGCAGCATCACAGGTTTTGGTCTCCTGGGGTTATTCAAGCTTAAAAATGACTATGGCCTGAACCAAATAGGAGTTCTGCAGCGAGGTGAACTTACTGAATACGTTATAATAAGCATTATATATCTGAACAGTGCAGGCAGTTACGAAAGTGCTGGACTGGCTTTACAAGAAGAAACAGCCTTTTTTTATGTTAAATGTTTTTTTAAATGTTTCTATTGTACTAAATGCTGCACATTGAATTGCAATCTTTAAGCTCCTAAGGGCAATACTCTATGTAGAGCTGAACTCTCATCATTCTATCAGTAATAGAAATTAAACTTTTTTTCTTCTGTTTAGGGGCAACATTGTATGCCTTGTTGCTATATAGTTTGGAACTTCATTTGGCGGAAGGAATTGTGCTATAACATATGTAGATGTACTGTTCAAACTTCTATAAAAGTAGTTTTTCCACAGAAATTGTGTAAAAGATCAGGGATAAAAAAAAAAAAAAAAAGATAATAGAAGCTTTTAACCAATCCGATGGTTGAATAAACTAAGTAACTGGACAATAAACATTGCTTGTATAATTATTTATTCAATATTGAGAAAGAAAAAGGGGTTTTGTGTTTTAGTTGGTTGATTTTATGGTTTTCTATTAAAATGTGAGTCATTTTGATGAACTGATTACTGACACCGTAATTAATTTGATAAAAAAAATTATAATTGAGTTTATTTGAGTGAATTTTAATATAAACCAAAAACCAACAACAAAAATGCAGCAAAAAAATGACAAATACAGAATTCTTGGTCTTTTACAATTTTATTTTGTTTTTCATTGGGGAGAGTTTGTGTCTGGAAGTATTCTGTATAATTAAAAAAGAAGCAAAACTGCTCAACCATTTGAATTTAAATATTACACAGAACCATAAATTAATCTAAAGAGCATTGATTTATAAATATGTGTATAGATTTATTGCAAGGGCCTGGTCTGTCTTTGATTTATTTGAAAAATATCGATGAGCGCATTAATATTCCTAACGGTTTATCCTTAAAAGGATTTTGGCACATATTAGTTCTCAACCACCCCTAGGGCTGAGCATGTACTGTAGGATATTTTCAATCGTCAGCTACTGCTCAAACTGTACAATCAAGTTAACAGCTCATGATGTATGTTCTTACACTGATGCGATCTACACTGCACTTCCAAAAGCTACATGTCGGACTCAGTGCCGAGAGATGGCAAAGGCTCCCTTCCAGCTTTACTCATTAATCTGTAAGGAAGAAGAAGAAGAATTCCCTTGTTTGCAGATGAGCAGTGCGTGAGGTTCTCGTAAACTGACTCGTAGACGCTCATAGCTCTGCTTCAACGGCAGGACTCTTCCCTGAACACCGTATGAGGGCCAACTGAAGTTCAAACATATTTAAACTTTTTCCAAAACCTTACAATTCATGATCAGGAGGTAGTCATGAGAGCCTGATTGCCCCTCGTTATCCCTGTATACTACATGACGCAGGACGCACCATGAGGCTGGAACCCAGCCCAATCGAAAAAATTCTCACTGGACTGGAGAATCGGCCCAAAAAGGGCAAAAAAATCATACAGTGTATGACCTGCCTAAGTCAGCATTGGACCGTGCATGGCCACCCCTCTGAAACAAATCTGGAAATGCCACTCAGGCCTTGGATCAAATCCTTGGCTCATGATTAGGCTGTGCAATGCTGTACTTCATGCTCAAGTGCACAGGAACACTCTGCCCTCTTGTCCTAATTTGTGACACCTCTTGGAGGTTGGGTTGCATATTGTGAATGGCAACACATGATTACATTTTGGTGATGATCCAGGTCACCATCTGGATCCAGGAATTTTTGGACAGATTCTGTGAATACGGGCAGAAATCACAATAAGGTGGAAGTCACAATATGTCGGGAGAGATTAGCTACTTGGCAGAGGTCTGTTCTCTCTGAATGCTTTTTTGGTTGTATTATTGAACAATTTAGGTTTTTTGTGGAATAACTGAACATCTGTCTTTGGTTTATAACCAAATTTTTCCTTAGGAATAGGTCGCATTTGTGAATCTCTGAATGTAATTTGTTTGGTAATAACATTCCCCCCGAGTGCTGTGCAGCAACAGACTTTTGTTTTTAGTGTGTAGATTTTAAGGGCTCAGTGGTACCTTAAAGTCTTTGGTAACAGGGGTAGAGGGCAGGATGGCATAATTAGTCGCACATTACATTTAGTGCCACCCCCTCCACCTAGTACCAGGAGCAAGTGGATAAAGGATAGAGTAAAAAGAAAAACATCATGCTGGCATTGCACACATGCATAGTTGATATTATCGTACTCCAAAGATCCACATGGACGCTAGTCGGACTGTGATCATCAAAAACCACCTCTCTCATTCGGAATAAAATTTCTTTCCGATAGGACCAAATTGGATTACAATCTTTAGTCAGACATGTTTAAATGAAAATTTATTTGATCAAGCCATTTATTATCGCTGTCCATGTAAACATAGCTAGTGACATAAGCACAGTTACCTTAGACTGGCGTCAACCGGGGCCTTCGAAAACCATCAGTAGGCAATGCAGGTGACGAGTGTCACCAAAGTAGAACACAGACAGAGCTGAGTCAAACCTTCTGATTACAGGAAGAACTCCTGCATCCAAAATGCTCTCATTAAACCAGAAAACGTGGGGAACACAGAATAAAATTGTAAGTGTGCTTTTTTGTCAGAATGTAGATTCAGATTTATTTATTTATTTATTTGACAGGGACATAGTGCATTAATAAGCATTGCTGCGAATGCACCAGAATTACCCAAAAGGCTATTTTTCATCTGTTATCCCTAGACAGACCTTAAACTTGTCTACCTAAAAACACAAAAGTAAAAACTTTAAAGTGAAAAATACAAATATAAAAAGAAATAAAAAACAGCTATAACTCTTAAAAACATAAATACAGAATAAAACAATAAAATTGAAATAACTACACTGTGAATGTGACCAATGTGACCCCAAACTTTTGAACGGTAGTGTGTATGTACTGTATATATACACTGTACATATATACACACT